AAAAAAAAGAAAAAAAAAAAAAGCTCTACACTGCAGCAGGGGAGAGTGGTCCCACTTGGAGCCTCTGACAGAAAGCCCCAGGGGAGACTCAAGGTCAATCCGAAGGGTTTTAGAGTTGAGGATACAGAGGATCCAAGGCCCACTATACTCCAACTGAAAGAGAGAGATTGGTAGAGTATGAAGGGGTTCCAGCTGCTTCAGAAGTGATTGGTACTCAAACACATCTCTTGGCTGTGAGAGAACAGTGCTAGACTTTAGCCAGCGTGTTTTGCTAGATCTCGTCCCAGCAGTAAAAGTGCGAATATCAGCAAAGCTTCAGGTGGCTCATCTTATGTATTTCCAAACAATGATTTACCTAAAATGCTGCTTATATATATATATATTCCAAAATATAACCATTATATTTTGGAATTAGCTCTTAGCTCTTTTTTCTTACAGTTTTTTTACTAACAGCCCTTTCAAGTGACAAATCCAGGGCCGCCTTTGTTTTTCCGAACTGTTTCAGGAACACTGCTCATTTTTCCTTATTCAAAGGAGTGCCTTTCTGAGTGGCAGCTTGTGATTCTGGAGCTCAGATCTTCTTTATTGAACTTCTAGCATCAGGTCTAAATAATCCAATAAGCAAATGGACGTTCACCGTACTACTGGCTTTTTTTTTTTTTAGCACATGTGTTGGTAAGGAAGAGAATTTGTCTCACTACAGCTGCAGTCATCTCACTCACTGTGTTCTCTTACAGATTCTTCTGTTGGCAGTAATTCTCATAGCACTGGAGTGTAATGCATTCTATCGGTGCTGCCGAAGTGAGAGCTGTAACAAAACTTACAGAGTGAGTCTGTCTTTTATTTTTGCTTGTCTCTGGCATTTGTTCCACATGGCTTCCTGCTCCTGTGTCTCTAGTACCTCCCCCTCCTCTGCTCTGGTTCTGCTGCTTTTCATAGAGAAGGATTCTGAGTCAGGATGAGAGGTCACGGAAAGGGCAGCTCTTTCCTGTTGATGCATATTCAGGATGGAAAAAAATCTTTGTAGAATGAAACAAGATGAAATAAGAAGGCTGGAGTGTTCTAACAGAGTTCTCCGACTAAATAGTTCCATCTCTTTGTGTTTTGTTGTTGTTGTTTTTTTTTTTTTCCATTACCAACTCAATATGCAATATCTGGGATGCAAACATATTAAATATGTGCTTGTATTCCTCTTGCATTCTGGGATATGGTTTTGTAGGAACGTGAGTTTAAAAAACATGAGTACTTAACTGATATTATGAAACTGCCTTACACAGACAGAGTAAAGATAGAGTTTATGCTTACTGATCATTGCCTAGTATTTTTCACTCAGTAGTGAAGACTGGGACATGTGAAATTCAACCCCAAAGAAGTAGGTTGGCAGGGAGAGTGAATACATATGATGTAGAGACTGCTCTCATACAGAAATATTTTTCCCTCTTCAGAGTTTTATTTCAATTGTGCTAGCCATGCTTGGAGTTGCTTTCTCTGGATACAGTTGCATCATTTTTACCTTGGGATTGATCCAAGGCCCTTTCTGCAATTCATCCAGTGGATGGGATTACATCTTCAAAGATACTGTTGGAGGGTAAGAAACATCAGTTTTAACTACTTTATTCTACTGTTCATCAGAACAATGGTCAGACAAATTCTCTCAGGATTTTACACAAAATGGCACAGTCTCTTGGACACAGAACCCATACTGTAAGACTTTTTAAGTTGTTCAGTGAGCAGCAAAATCTTCAAAGAAAGGTATTTGCCTCCTAATGATAAAAACCTAAAGGTAAGAATCTTTTTACTGATCGGACCTGGAGGTCTGTAGAGACAAGTGACCTTTATCTGTGATGATCACAACTTTGATGTAGTAAAGAATAAAAGATTAGATGTGCTGTAGATGTATACTTCCACAATATTCTCTCAAATTCCTCTAGTTCTTCATTCAAAGATTATGAATGTCATTTTAATATTTAATAACTGAAGAAGTTTCACTTTAACACCTAAACTCAATGAAGTCTGCAGTTTGATCACTGGACGGTTATGCGTACAGCTGCAATGTTTTTTAAAACACTTGAGCAAAGTGCTGTTAGTGTTTCAGACTACAGAAGCTTGAAACATTTCATAAGATCAGTAATGTGGGGGTGCTTCCACAGGATTTTACGTTCTCCCTTTAAAAAAAAGTCAAAGTTTTACAAGACTTGAATTTTTCAAGGCTTGATGATACCAGGCTCTTCTGCTTGCATGTGCATGTGCTGAGGATTAAATTACTCAGTGAATCATAGGCACATTTCTTCAGCATTAAACAGGAGTGGTTCCTATAACATAGGTATAACCATCTCTGACTGAAATCAGCTCTCTTTTTACATCCTGAAATGCATCCTGCAGTCTCTGATATGTATTGCAAGCCTTACCATCCCATTTGAAAATACATGTGCATAAAATGGAAGCTTGATTTTAACTTAAAGGGCCATGTGCTGAGCAACGTCTTCAAAATGATGAATGTTTAGAAAATAACCATCACTGAGCAAGTCCTTCTAACAAAGCTTCTTGCAATGTACTGCCAGGCTGTAGCATGTCTCAATTAAAAGGGCACGGCTGGCACATACCATTCCTCAAGAATGCCGAATGTGGCTCTGGAAGTTGCATATGGTGACACACCTCAGCTCTGCCACCCAGGCTGCATCCACTGGTCAGAATGATGACATTTGGGTGTTCTTACTCTCTGCACAGTATTTATGTCATCTAGACATAATCAAAAGCTGAAATTAAATCAGGGAAGGCAGTCCCTTCTTTAGACTTGGCTTCTTCCTTTGGGGAGGAAAAAAAAAAAAACATCTCTCTAACATTTGGGTGTCATACTGGGAAGTTAATGGAGCAGTTGAGGAACACAACTTTATTGTGTTTTTTGTTTTTTGTAACAAGTCTTTATTCAGCTGAGTTTGGCAAACTTATCTAGGACTTACTCTACTGTAATGAAGGAACAGCCCTAAACTTTAAGCGTATAAGGCATAGTATGTGTTTTCTAAATAGTAAAGGTAAAATAATGTGTATTTAAATTTAATTGGAAAAGTCACATTTAATTTGCCTCATGTTGCTTTTTTTCTGATAGATACCTCACAGATTACTCTGCTTGGTCTCAATGTACTGAACCTGCTAATGCTGTGGAATGGAGCATCATTTTACTCTCTATTCTGATTACTCTTAGTGGACTGCAGTTGATCATCTGTTTTCTTAAAGTGGCTGCTGAGCTGAAACGTACACTTTGTGGGACCTATTCTGTTTTTATTCAGGTAACAAAAGACCTGAGGTCATTTCTTCAGCATCTTAAAGGTCAGTTTAGCTTCAGCAGTTTCTGTCAGTAGATGACCTTCCCTCTTGGTTTATGCATTCTCTTTGCTACTGCGTATTTATTAGCAGAAAATATGTGCTGATAGTATATCTGCTGCATCCTAGTCATCTGCCATTCAAGGATGGCTGACTGCTCACTCTAGCCTTTAGTGCTATAATTAATGAAAAAATGAGGCTGAGAATTCTACTCCCATGTCAGCAAAAGCTTCTGTGCAACTTTCTCCTATCATTCATATGTGTGCATGAAGAGTTTAGATTAGGAGATGAATGTTTAAGTCAGACAAGATATATATTAGCTTGAGCTGAAAGAAAAAGAAAATAACCCGCAGGCCTTACACTTCCTTCCTTTTCATTTGCAGGCTGGGATTCTCTGAAAATGACAAAATGCTGAACCACTGTTTTCCTAAAGAAAAACTGTTTTCTTACCTGTCTAGTTGTCTCTGGCAGTGACTTTTTTTTTTTTTAACCCTCCAGCTTGTTCTGACAGTAGGGAGGTTTGAATACTGTGGAACTCCTTTTGTAGTAAAACCATCTTTTTTGAATAAACTGCTGTATTTATAGTACCCTCTTTTTGTTTAGAAAATGAGAGTATTTGTTCTGAAGTGACCTGATTCAAACCTTAGCATGTCAAGAGAAATTCTCCCTTGAGAATTAGTGTGCTGGACAAAGCCATGGTTTCTACATGACTGAATTTTAGTTACAGACAGACCATGATGGTTATGACAGGCAGAAGCTCATGCTACATTTTCTGTCCTAGGAGCTTATTAGCTGTACAAAGCAGTTTCTGAAAGAAAAGGTTAGCAAGTCTAATCAAGGTAAGGCATCTAGGCCTATGAGAACTTAGGAAATATATGAGGAAACCCTGTGAATACCAAGTGCTAGCTTGTTATTACTTGTAAATATCCTGACTTTGCTGCAGGAGAAGGCTGACTTTCTTGCCAATAACATTCAGAATTTCAGTAATTTAATTCTGTTTCAAGACAATTCTGAGATTTTGTATTGATAATCCTCTGGCAGATATTTTGAAAAATTGGTTTCTTTCTGCAGAAATTGAGTAATGTATATTAAATTTTAATTTGGTTTATATGAAGTTGAAAGAAGTAATAAAAAGTTACTGATGTTTATGAATGGGTCTACTCTTTTGGATGACAACTCAAGATGGCATGGATGTTCAGAGACGTGCTAAAAAGGCATGATGACAAAATGGGGATTCTGCAACAGCACTCTTGTTTTTTTTCCCTAGGCAGAAATGTCATTATAACTACTTAAATGATAATCTCACATTCTTACAGGTTTATGAATATTGTTTGAGAAGAAGTGCAACCAGCTGTTGCTCCTTCTCAGTATCCTGGAAAATCTTGTTGACTTTGTGCCTGTAAACAATGGAGTTACTCATTTTGAAAAAGTTTGAAAAAAGGTTTTGGTTCTTTGGGTGAAAACTAGTACATGTGGAGCACACATGCAGAGTAGAAAGCCTCTAAAATTGCAAAATAGGTGAAGGCTCTAATTCATCCAGGAAATCAAACGGCGTTCTTCTCAGATTCCAGCTCAGTCGTAGGGAAACTACAAGCTTATTTTTAGACATACAGGGTTTATTGAGGTAGATTTTCTTATGCCAGGTAAGAGCAATGTAATAGCTGGAAGTTGCTGTTGAAAACACTTAACCCTTTTTCTTACTGTTGTATCTATCCTCTCCACTTTCCAGTAACATCTGTCACTTATAATGAGAAATCTTGAGAGTATGTGACAGAAGACACAAAGGTTTCAAAGTGTTTTCTGTAGTAATATTATCAGCAGTAGTGACAACCTAACCACTGGCAAAGCTTGGCTGTCCTTACGTCATGTTTTTATTGTGATTATGCCCTGTGAATATACATTTCTGCTCTGCCATAGGCTTGTGTCTCCTATTTTAGTGGCATAAAACAAAAGATGTGTGATGTAGTTCTTGTTGAGTGTATCGATTCTGCAACGCTCTTTATCCATAATCCAGATACTGGCGTTTTCATTGCCCTGGTCAAAACTAGACTGCGGCTTGACTTCTGAACTTTTAAATAGGCAGTTTATTCATTTGAAGTTGATGGTGTGAGTACTAAAAGCTAAAAGTGGGTTTTGACACAGATTTTCTAAAGTTAAGGCAGAGTTAAATTTGATCTAATCACTCAAAGACTCTATTCAATCCTAAATATACAGTCTCTCATAAACAGTGCCCAGAAGCAAAACAAACCCAAAACAACAGCATAGCAAGATGATTTCTGTAAGGAACATTAACTGACTTGAAATCCATATGTACCTGATGGTGATGTCTGGGATGTGACTGGCACTCCAGCTGCAGAATACAGGCTTCATCCCAACAATAGAAGGAAAATGTGACCTGCCATGATGGCAGACAAGAAGCCCTTTTTTGAAAGTTTCCTGAACCTGGAATGCACGCGCTATCTGCTCAGATTTACACATTAAATATCCCATGGTACTTCTGGAAGAAAGCTGCAGATTGGAGTTCATAACTGTCTGTTAGTGAGGAGTTGATGCTGAAACCTGGAGGTAAGATTGTCAGCAGTTCTTTGCAGTTCTCAAATCAAGGCAGAGAATTGAGGAGCATCAAAGCCCTAGGACAAAGAAATGCTCATATTTTTACCCTTAAATAAATAACAGGGTCTCTAGGACGCTGGTTGTGTGCATTTTCTTCTCAGTCCAGTGACCTTTGAACACATTTAAACCAAATAGCTCACCTATATGTGCACATATTCCTCAATACACAGCTAGTGTACATAACTTTGAATTTCAGTAGTATAAGAGGGGGTTAACTTTTTTTTTTTTTTTTTTTTTTTTACCTCAGTTAGTTACAAAGAGGAATATGCAGCCTCAACAAACTGGCCTTTCCACTAATAACTGCATAAAAGAAAAATAAAAAATCTATGTGGAAGTTGTTCTGAGCACTGATGCCAACTTGGGAAACTCCAGAATTTCATGATCTAGTCAAATTTCAAAGCTTGGCTTTGGTTACGGTCTTTTAAACAGAAGCAGGACTTTTCCATTTAATTCAGCCGTTCAGAAGGTTCCAAAAGGTGATACTGTGGTGGTGATTGATGTTTTCTGCATGGATTGTGGTTACTATTGGTAATTTGTCTATATAGCTTGGTCCAGGTACACAAAGTTTAGATTTCTTTGCTGTTAAAGGAAATCTATTGCACTTTAGTTATGGTCTGAATTTTAGTCTTCCATCAAAAATTATCATAATTAGGAAAATAGCTTCAAAGATGCTGTCATACAGGGAGAAGTCTCATTTTTTAATGTGTGATCAGTGCTCAGAGTGCAAAAGAGATTTTAAGAGAGCCCAAGTGACTATGAATAATTTTTTTTTTTTTTAAGAAGCGTTTACAATTTGCAAGCTTTCAGTTGGCCTGATATGTTTACAGCTTCAGATGAACCACAACAGCATGGATATATGCTTGAAAAAAATTCCAGGTCTGGTTAGGTGCTGTTTAAAAGTCCTGGGTATAAGATTCAATTCTGTTGTTGTTTTTCAATGAAACTAGTCAATAGAGAATATTTGCCAAATTTGAATAAAACAAAAGTATAACTTTCAAGAATGAATAGTAAATTTAGATAACAGTAGCTGTTAAAGTAATCTTGAGCTTCATACATCTATTATGCTTTTAATCATTGAGGAATGTGGCTTATCCTGTCTGGTAGCAGGCCTGAAGGAGGATAACATAAGAAGTTAATTCTGTGGAATTTCTGAGTCTATTTTCCATTTGAGCAGTACTGAAATTGCTTGGAAATGGATGCAGTGCATTCCCCTGCCTTGGCCTCAATCCTTGAATATATCCATTTCTTCTTTAGCTATATTTTCCATACTTCGTTCTAAAATTATATTTACATGGAACTGTGGTAAGTTAGCAGAGCTTATCCAAGTATTCATCAGTGTCTAAATGCTGCTCTGACAGCAGTAACCTCAGTCCTCCTTCATCCATCTCTGTCTTGCCAGTTCAATAATTGCTGTACAGAGAGGAAGCAGAAGAGATCTGTAGGCTCAGAAAGCACAAGGTAAATACGCAGCAGAAGTCTGCACGTGCAGGAGGACCTGCCTTGCTTTCAGTTTTGTCCACACAGAACAGACACAGTGAGATAAACTGATGTCATTTATTGCTTTTCATAGTGCACTTAAAACATTGTGTTCTTCAGCCAGTCTTCACAGAAATTTTCTCAATAGTATACAGGCTACAGAGACAGAGATAAAGACGATGAAGAATGTAGTTAAACTTATTTACCTTCAATTAAACTACAAGATTTACAATCTGATAACAGTCTAAGTAGTAATTTGCATTCTAGTAGTTGGCAGAAATAGAAAAAATTCCTTTGAAGATTACGAGAACTAACAAGGTTACCAGAATCTCTTGTTTACACTTCACGCACAGAGACATTGTGCAATGTTTTATTATATTCGCCAAAGCAAATCAGGAGAGAAAGGGTGGGGGTGGGAAAGAAAGACCATATAAAGGGAAATTGCATGTACCCATTCTCTGTCTCTATTTCACACTTTCCACGAGGTTCGTGAATGCAGAATGAAGCTATACTTGCTAAACATTGTTCTGTTTTTTTGCTGTTGCCGAACTGGAGCAGTGACCAGGGAGTACTACATCGGGATTGTAGAGACAGCATGGGACTATGCTCCTGGTAGTACTGATATCATATCTGGACAACGTTTTGCAGAAGAAGAGTAAGTAATGTAGTTCATACTGATGGAGTTTTATTTAATAGCATTGTCTGCTTTAGATGCTAGGACTGGATTAAGATCTGGTGAAGTCGGTGAAATGGATTGTGCTAGTGTCAGTGAACTTGGTGGCTGACATATAAGGGAGTATTTACTTTTTCCTGACTTGCTTAAGAACTAAATTGCAACTCTCTGCTGATTAAAAATGTTGTACAACGTAACGTTCTTTTTGTGACTTTATTGTAATGAAATGTTTATTAACTAGAGGCAGGGAAATGATCATGTGAATGCCTAGTGTTATTTTGAATTAGCCAAGTGGCAGTGATGAAGGGAAGGCTTCTGCTTTTACTTTTTTAAACTCAGAAGTTTAACACATTAAAATTGTTCTGTTGGGCACAATTTTCCCTTTTTAAATATTCGTTGTTGGCAGTGGTTGCTTTTTTGTGGAGGTGCAGCAGCTGGAATGTTTCATGCTAGAAAGGCTCTTTGCAGTACGAGAAACAGAGGATAAGTGTGGTGAGAAGAAAGGAGATACCCTGAAAACATAAATAATAAAGAAAACTCGGATATCAGAGGCACTAAAGAAAGTATTGGACGGGGAAAAAAAAAGAAGTCATCCTTTCTATTTTTTCAGTGCTTTTAAAATGAAGTAGAACTAAATGAAGAGTGAAGAAGTATATCACAAATAAGAAGAGTCTTCTCCTTGCTGACTGTGAAGTCAACATAACATGATACTTGTTAGTTTTAACTGGCTTTGGAAAGTTATGCAGAACTTGAAGCACATACAAAAATGTTGAGCAGGAAGACCTGTTGTTTGATTTATAAGCAGCAGAAAATTGTATCAAATACCCTTATCTTCAGTCTACAAAATAAGTAGAAAAAATTCCTAGTTGTTGTGGAGCATTTAATCTCTGAGTGCCTGTACTCTTCAGGAATATGAATGTATTGTGCACAGTGCTACAGAGGCCTGGTCTTTGAGATCTGCTAATTAGCACTGTTCAAGTATAAAGTGAATATCTGCCATTATAGATGTTTGTGTATTTTCTTTACAGGCAAGCTGAAGTCTTCCTTAAAAGAGGACCACAAAGGATAGGAAGCATTTATAAGAAGGCTGTCTACACTCAGTACACCAATATTTTATATGATGTGATAGTTGAGAAACCTTCCTGGCTGGGTTTTTTAGGCCCTATCATTAAGGGAGAAGTTGGCGATTCCATTGTTGTTCACTTGAAAAACTTTGCTTCCAGAAACTACACACTGCATCCACATGGTGTAAAATATACAAAGGAAAATGAAGGTAAGCTTGAGTCCATTCTGTGTCAGAATTTAACAAAAGCTTTGTCATCGAACATACAACTGCCTAAGCAAATTATCTTCTAAAATAAGATGCATGCTGTTTAAAATAGGAGCTGATTAAGAACATTTGGTGTTTGTCCAAGAGTGAAATACTGAGCCAAAAGTGGGGTTCATATAGGAGGCAGTTTTAGATGAACATTCCACCTGAAATAAGGGTAATATAGGGATGTCTGAAGGAAAAAAAAATGCTGTTGTAAAGAAAATACTGTTTGTATAAGTTATAACTCTTAACAGTATTAAGAATTCTGAATTATATACAAGATATAAGATACACAGGTTCCTTAAAACAGAGAAATGCCTTCAGCTTAGGTTAATAAATTCGTGAAATAGAAAGGTGTCATGCTTTCAGATGTACTGTAGCAATGCTACTGGTATTAGTGAAGACAGTAGTTATTGGCAATAGTGAGAGATTTTCAGGCTGTGAAACACTGCTGCAGTTTCACTGAAATTAGTGGATTCCTTGCATATTGATAGGCAGAAAAGTCACCTTCTCTTCTGGACAATTCTAACATCTATAGAGTGTTTTTGTAGCATCTTTTATGCATACAGCAACCCACAAAGGGGTCATCTGTCAGAAAGAGCAGCATGTCCCTCCTGAGAAAATACTGTGATTCCTGCTTCCTCCTTGAAAACTATTGAATGTAATATGATGACATCTAAATCTGAGGCTGTAGCCTGACAATTCACCCTGCCAGATGCACCTCACTGTGTAGTTTTCCATACTATTAACTGCAAAAAAGACTGCACTGGAGTATAGCCACTGGAAGTTTTATTAAGATGCCTTAAAAACCGTGTGAATTATTGAGTAGATACTGTCAAAAGTAGTCTTTGAAAATTTTTCAGTGGGGAAAAAAAATTATGAAATATTAGTTTAACATCTACTATTTTTAAAAGGTTTTCATTACATCAAATATGTGACTTGGTATTGACACACTATGGGAGAACAGCATGTTGTATGGTAATATATAGAATAATGTTTACCATATTACCGCTGTTGCTCAGCCGCACCTGTGTTCTTTGGAGAGGAATGCAATGTTTTAGAATAGATTCCAAGATCAATATTTAACAAATGTTTTACAAATATTTTAGCTGTTGTCTCTTTAGCAGAAGTGCATTGTGCCCTCTTAATAAAGAACTCAATTTAAAGTTACTTGTCAAAGCGCACCTGCAGAACTCAAAGTCAAGTGAAGGAACTCTAGCAGAAGGGAAAGGTCTATCCATCTGAATTAAAATTTGTTTTACCTCTATTTGAGTATTCAATCCCTGTTATTGCAGCATGTAATCAACTTCAAAACACTATTCTGACACTGTATTGTGAAATGTGTTATCTTAATGTTGGCTGTGTGCCATTCCTCAGGTGCTTTTTATCCAGACAATACCAAAGGTTTTGAAAAAAGAGATGATGCTGTGAAGCCTGGAGGCCAGTACACTTATACGTGGGATGTGACAGAAGATCAAGGTCCTGCTGAAGGAGATGCAGACTGCATAACCAGAGTTTACCACTCTCACATAGATGCTCCAAGAGATGTTGCCTCAGGGCTTGTTGGGCCTTTAATAATCTGCAAGAAAGGTAAAACATGAATTAACTACTACATATACAAGGTGATTGATAATGGCACTTGATAAATGTAACTGAACTAATTTTCTGGAAGAGGAAATTACAGTTCATTTTGAAATAGTGGATTTTGTCTTGTCAATTAACTGCCTTCTAATGATAGGATGGGATTTAATTTGATTTTGTGTGCTAGGCAAATGAGTGAAATGTGTGCTAGTTATGCAAAAGTGTAATCTCTGTAGAACATATGTAGAAAAATGTTTTACATAATTATCACATACAATATTTATTTTTAGCAAAGTTCTTTTATTGCGTCTCTTAAAACCAACCTTTGTTTTCCCAATATGGCTGTAAGTTTATACGTACAGTCACACTCAAGATAAACAACAAAATGTCAAGTAAACAGCCATCATCCTTATTGATACTGTGCTTAAAACTGAACAGATATTGCCAGTTGCTAGAGAATATGCTACTTTCTTTTTCAGGTGCAATGAATAAGGACAACAATAAATATGTCGATGCTGAATTTATCCTTATGTTCTCTGTGATGGATGAAAATCTCAGTTGGTATCTAGAGGACAATATCAGGACTTACTGTTCTGAGCCTTCCGAAGTTAACAAAGATGATGAGGACTTTCAGGAAAGCAATAAAATGCACTGTGAGAGAACTTAATATTAATGTTACTTGCCATTGATGTAAAGAGGTATTGGTTTTTTTATGGGTTGTCTCTTTTAAAGATTTTTCTTTAAAAAACAGAACTTTTTCTTGGAGAATTAAACTCCTTTTAAAATTAAAAAAAAAAAAAAAGGAAAAAAAAAGTTACAACCAGTATTGTACAATCAACCCTTTGGAATTGTGAAAGAAGATTCCTAGGGACCAAAACTTTTTTTTGGCACTAAAATTTCCTCAACACCATAGACAGTTTTGTAATGTATTTTGCTTCCTAGTCATAAACTATACTATATAATATTGCAGTTTAGAAAAAGAGATTTTACTGTTAGTGTCAACAAAAGGTACTTTTGGCTTATTCTTGGTTTCCAGAATCACAGCAGGAGCTGCAAGTAGATGTGAAGATAAAGTTTGTGTCTGATGTTGGTTAATTTTCAAAGGTCCAGTATTCTGTTCTGAAATTCTCTTTATTCTGAAAAATAGAGTAATGGTTGTATGTCCCTCACCTTTGAAATAAAGATCCTGAGCCCTGTGAATGTAACAGTAATAATTAATATGGTTGTTTGTGGATTTTTTTTTTTTTTTTAGCAATCAATGGGTACATGTATGGATACCTCCCAAATCTCACAATGTGTGTGGAAGATAAGGTAAAATGGCATCTTTTTGGCATGGGTAATGAAGCTGACATCCATTCAGCCTACTTTCATGGTCAGACCTTAATAGAAAGACACCATCGAGTTGACACCATTAACCTCTTCCCAGCCACATTTATTGATGCTCTCATGATACCAAGGAATCCTGGGGAATGGCTGCTGAGCTGCCAAGTGAATGACCATATAGAAGGTACAGAATAAATCACAGACATCAGGATTTTTTTTCAGCTTGAGCTACTAATTTAATGAGTCTCTTTCACATACTCCTGATGTGGTTATTTGCCAGACAATGTTCTCCTCAAGGTAAAAACCAACCAACCAACCAAAAAAAAAACAACAACCAAACAACTTTTCATAGCAAATGAAGTGCTATGAAGTGTATTGATTGATTCTGTGGGTACATTCCTAAACCTAAAATATTGTTATTGTTAATGGAAATTGTTATCAATTGACAGCAATTGGCATCACTGCATTTTTGTATACTTGGACTTTAGATAAACAATATCTTGATGTTTACCTCTTACTGATGGTAACTGATCACAACATTCTGTTTGCCAACAAAAAAAGTTAGTGCTAGTTTCATGTTTGGGCAAGGACACAGGACAGACAGGTTAACTTGCCTCACAGTGACACATTCTGGAAAGAACACTGGCTAATAATCAGAGATGATCTGTGTTTGTCTTCCTTGTATCTTAGTGTATTTCCCATGGTCTTTTAACCATATGAAATATGTAGAAGCTAATGCCACACTTTCACTTAGGGGGATACCGATCATGTAAGTTACAGAAGTCATCTGTCATAAAAGTCAAAGAACACAGAACTCAAATCAGGCTCTAGGATCTGAAAACAGGGAGGAACGTGTTTGTCCTCCAAATTCAGCTGCACAGGATAGAAGTTTTTAGATAACTAGAGCATCCTGCAGTATCTTGATGTGGATGATGCTTCATGAGCAACATGAAAATCCTACAAATTGGCCCAATTTAGCTGCAAAAGGGCACTTTCTCTCTCTCTCTTTTTTTTTTTTTTTTGGAACTGTTTGTACCTTCAGCAAGGAGATTCACTATTGGATCTGTCTCCTAGGGTACAAAGACCTAAGTTTCACAAGTGAGCCACTGATTAGATTTAGAGGAAAATCTGGTCTGTCTTTTAGTACTTGGTTTAGCAGTACTCTAGGAATTCTCCAGGTAAGAGGAGTTATTAGAATCACAGGGGAAAAAAAAATGAATTGCAGCTTCTTTAATTTTCTTACATCATTTTTTCCAGGTGGTATGCAGGCCCTTTTTAAAGTAGAAAGTTGTAGAAAATCCCCAATAAATCACAATGAGACTCCAAAGATAAGACAATACTTCATTGCTGCTGAAGAGATTATCTGGAATTATGGCCCATCTGCCCTTAACCATTTTACAGGACAAGAATTAATTGCTGACAGGTAAATGCCTCCAAGAAGTTTCACTTTCAAGCAGATTTGATATGAGCATGCTGAATAGGAGTAAGCCTTATGGTAGAATTTGCCTTTAAGTAGAATTTCTCATTGTCCTCAGCTGTGATTAAATATTAATATTAAATATTAATGCTAAGATAAGAACAAATTAGTTCATTTTTTTCCTTTGTGATCTTAAGATAAATTTTGCTGAAGTGTTAGTAATGTCACTGGGTTGAAGAGGAATTGCAGTGTCGTGACTTGAATTTTTTTGCATCTATTCCAATTTCTTTCACACAGTGAATCTTCTGTATTTTTTGAACGAAGTGAGACAAGAATTGGTGGCTCTTATAAAAAAGCCATTTATAAGGAATATACAGATGGTACTTTCACGGCACATAAAAAAAGGCTCCCAGACGAAGAACATCTTGGTCTCTTAGGTAAGATATTCAGAAAGATTTTATAATAAAGATTTATCAGAGGAAAGTATAACTTCTACTGCCTGGCCAATAGTGCCCTTTCACCTCCTCCCTCCTTAGTGCTCCCTTCCTCCTTCAGACACTGATGCCTGCAGCTTGCTCCAAAAGCCACCTCAGGGTGTATGCAAAGTTCCTAAAGGGAATGCTGTCATCATCCCCAATTTGCCTGAGGGAGTATGCCATGGTCTTCAAAGGGCAAGCCTGAATTACAAAGCCAGAGTAGGCAATTCTAACCCTGTCTATAAGTTGGCTGCTTCTGACACGGTTTTGGAGTAAGTTTGAGATTGGTACTAATGTCTGCAGGTCCCTTTCCAAAGGAAGGAACTGTCCTGTTTACACAGGGACTTCATGGGAGGCGAACAGTCCAGTTGAAGGCAGGATGCCATGAGACTTGGGCCATGTAGCAGGGACCTTGTCTGTGGCCAGACAAGCTCAGGGGCAGTTAATACACAATGGGAAAAGCAGGCGGCCATTGCTATGAGCTTGTGGTGATTGCTTCATCGCTTGACACAAAATCAGATTTTGTGATCTCTTCTAGGACCTGTTATCAAGGCGGAAGTGGGCGAGAGCATCAAGGTGACTTTCCGAAATAACGCCAGCCGCCCATTTAGCATCCAGCCCCATGGTGTGAGTTACCACAAGAGCAACGAGGGAGCATTGTATAGAACTGCCTCCAGAGGTGCGCCTGTGGAGATGGACCTTGCAAGCAGCAGAGAACAAGCTGTTGCATATATTAATGCGTTAAAGGTGAAAAAATAAACAGGTTTCGTTAGGCTTAATTCCTAATTTTGATTTCTATAACAGATACTGAATCTCCAGCTTCCCATGTCAGTCCTGGTGCTACGTTTACGTATGAGTGGAATGTGCCAAAAGATGTGGGCCCCACAGACCAAGATCCAGACTGCTTAACTTGGTTTTATTACTCAGCTGTGGATTCAGTCAGAGATACCAGTTCGGGCCTTGTGGGTCCTCTTTTGGTGTGCAGGAAAGGAGCTCTACTTCCTTCTGCAAAACAGGTCAGTCAAAGAGGAAAAACATGGAAGCATTTGCCTCACTGTAACTGAATCTGCTTTCTTTTCCTGAACTGGGCTCTGCACATCACCATCTAGCCCATGCACTGAGAGACATATAAAAAATGGGGGTGGAAATGTTGTGTTGTTTTTTAAAAAAAAATAAAAAAAATCAGTCTGGTTCCACGTAGGCAGACACTGTGTTATGAAATTAATGTCACAGTCATTAGTCTTCAAGTCTTATGTAGGATGAGAATGACTAGAAAATTGTAGAAACCTTAAAGATCAGTATCTGAATCTGGAGGTGGTTCCTGCTGGTGGAAAGCCATCAGCAGCAGGTATCTACCCACCTCAGACAGCAGGTAGATAGCTTTAGGGTCGTCTGAATGAAGTTTCAATGCATGCATCTACGCTAGTTTGTGAATTATACTCAAATTAATAAACACATTCAATGATTTTATTGTGTTTTTTCTCTTTTTCCTGGCATGATCTCTTCACCAAATTTTATTTTCCTTTGTGATATTTTTCTCTCAACAGAGAAGTGTGACCAGGGAGTTTTTCCTACTTGCCACAGTATTTGATGAGAATCTGAGCTGGTACTTGGATGACAATATTTTGATGTTTACATTAAATCCTAATGAAATTGACAAAGATAATGAGGACTTCCAAGAATCTAACAAAATGCACTGTAAGAAAATTGGTTTTTATATTTTGCTAGTCAAATGCTTCCTTTCTACTGTAAGTTTTTTTATTTTTGGAGACTGGGAGACTGTATGATAAGAGAGATGCTAATTCCCTTTCAATTGGAACAGACCATATTTGAAAGCAATTCAATTTCAAGTCAGCGTGGTTATCAGTTCAAAATGTACTGACCACAGTTCAGTGTCAGCAGTGGACTGTTTGGCACTGTTACATACCTCTTTCAGAAGACATGAAGGAACGGGGTCTGCAGCCGATGTGCAACCCCTATGAATGCAGCCAGGTAGCAAGAGGAACTGACCTCTGCCCTATAGAAGATGTCGCTGAAAGGAGTACTTTTTTGTCCATAGCTGGATTTCTTTACCAGCACTGTGAACACCTTACAGTGAAAGTGGCATTTCTACTATTTACAGAGCTACAATAGTAAGCATTCCAGTGGCATCTGGCAAAGGCTCAGCCTTTGGAAGGTCTACACAGGAGTAAGAATTATTAACTTGAACTAGCAACACTTGGAATCATCTCTGCTGTGTGAGTATAGAACCCTTGCAGTATAAAGCAGTGAAGATTGCAGGTGGTCAGGTTCCTGTGCTTTAGACACTGGAAGTGAGAACAGTTTGAAATTGTTTTTAAGTACCGGGTTTAAAAAGTTGTTTTTGCTTGAACTGATCCTCTACTTTTGCTGCTGTGATATTTTAGTATAATATCTTTGTCACTATAAGACACCACAATGAAGTTATATTTATTTTTAAATATTATATGTAAATGTAATTTAATTTGTGTTAATCAAAGTTGACTTTACTTCTTCAAATCTTCTACAGCCATTAATGGTTACATGTATGGAAATCAACCTGGTCTCGAGATGTGTAAAGGCGATGTGATTTCCTGGCATTTGATGGGCTTGGGGTCAGAAGTCGATGTTCATGGGATATACTTTTCACAAAACACATTCATAACAAAAGGAACAAGAAAGGATATGGCAAATCTATTTCCACACACATTTGTTACAGCTATTATGAAGCCTGATTCTGAAGGTAAGTGTCCCATGTGGTGGTGGTGGTGGTTTGGTTATTTTTTTGTTTGTTTGTTTTCAGCTTATGTCCCAGACAGAGCAGTATTACACAGCTATGGAAATTCATTGTAGCGCTTCCTCTGACTGGCATAAAAACTGCTATTGGCCTTTGCCTGGCAAAGGCTCTCCTACCACAGCTGAAGCACTTTGATGTTCTTGTATAGCTCTGCCACTAAATGGGCAGGATCCTGCTTTCCTTCTGAACCTCACTAGGTTTTGGGAGTAATCACTCTACCAGTTCCAGTGTGCTATGTTGTCTTCATGTGCCAAATGCTATAGAATTGTACCCATAAAACAGTGAAAAGCAGGCTTTTATTTCATCTTTTTTTGTGTGTGTCAGCAGCTAAAAAACACAGTGAGTACATTGAAGTAATTTCAGAAAGAAATGGTGTGGGGATATTTTTAATTTTGAACAAAATAACTGAAAGGAGTAAAAAATGTAGACTTTTCTTTCTTCCTTTCTGGTTCAGCAGGACTGATATACAAGATATCTGAAGGCTTGAAATATACTGTTTCTTGTTTAGAAACTGCTTACCTGTGTGCATGTTATGCTTAGATAGCAACTGTAAATAGCAGATATGTTGATCTGTGGGGACGCTAAAACTGTGTACAGCTGTGTGCAAAGAGTAGCAAACCGTGTGCGAGCTCTTCATGCTAAAGCTTTGATTTTCTTAGCCTCTACATCTGTGCTGAATTGTAGTAATACAAGTAGTCATGTTACACAAAGAATTCCAGTCTTATATGAACAATGGCTTGTTTTGATCTCTAAACTCTAGTTCAAAAGAGATAATACAGTTTTAAGAGCAACAAAAAGATTTTTGTCTTGAAGCGTTAACTTCCAGTACAACCTCTAGGAATTTTTGAAGTATCGTGCCTGACAACGGATCACTACAGAGGGGGCATGAAACAGAAATACAAAGTGAAACCATGTTATCAGTGGAATGTGGATCCATCCCTGTATTTGCATGAGAAGACACATTATATTGCTGCCGTGGAAGTTGAATGGGACTATTCCCCGAACAGGACATGGGAATTTGAGCGGCATCAATATCACAAGGAAAGGTATGTTAAAAATGTATACAAGGGAGGGAAAGAATGTGCAGAATGCAAAGGAACAAGTTATCCTTTATACCATTTCCTCTTTGCAATCCTGGCGTTTTCTTTTCAAGTGAGCCCTAAAAATATATATGCATTTATGGTCCTTCTCTGATAATGTTGCCATGTGTCCTAGTTTTAGTTGCAATAGAGTTAGTTTTCTTCATAGTGTCCGATATGATGTATTTTGGATTTATAACAAAAATCAACACTGATATTTTAGTTGTTGCTGAGCAATGCTGTATGCACACAAGGATAGTTCAGGTTTTCAGCCTCATGTCCTGCCAGAGACACAAGTAACTGGGAGGGGACGCGTCAATTCAGGACTGCTGACCTCAACTGGCCGAAGAGATATCCCATACCGTATGGCGTCATGTGAAAAAAATGTAAAACTGAGGGGAGCTGGCCAGGGTGGGGGCAGTCACTGCTCAAGAACTGCCTGGGCACTGTTGATGAAATGGTCCAGCTGCAGATTCTATTGGATCCTGGGTATTGCACGTGCTTTTATTATTTGCTGCTGGTATTGTCCTTGATGTGGAATGCTTAAGGTGTCCAACAAGTTGTAGATAGGACTATTTTGTCCTGATATTTGATTACTTACAAAATTTAACATTTGTGTGTGAGTAAGGTTCCTTTTTACTCCTCTCATGTGTTTGGTTTACACAAGATATTAAGTTTGTGATTGAATCCATTCATTGTGAAGCTCATCACCTCGTTTTGTTCCCAGTATTTGAATCTCATTGAATGAACTGATGGTATAAAATAATTCAAGCCAGTTACCAGTAGAGAATAAATAATGAACTGATGAATTTGTGTGTGCCTCTTCAGCCTATAAGCTTAATTTGAGTAGTAGATAGTAATTGCCTACAGTGATTGCTTTTATTTTAATGTTTTATATACTTCTTTCAGTCTGAAAGCAGATACCCTTGCCCTGTACACCACAGCAAATTCCCTCAAAGTTCTAAGCACAAGTAATATAAACTATGCTGTTAAGAAGCTTGTTTTGGTGTTAGGTTTTTTTTTTTCTTTTTTTTTTTCTCCGTCTCCAGCCCCAGTGATATCAGCAGGGAAGCAGTGCCTCATTTTTCAACTCAGCGAGTCATGTAAACTTTACAAGATTTAAGCTACATTCCAAAACTGTAGAAGTTACTAAGGGCTTTTATTTTTTGGCATGCAAATTGTTGGATGACTGCTTGCCATTTGAATTCTCTCTCAGCTAAAGCACTCAGCATTCTCTTAAATTCTATAAAGTCAGTCTGTTCATATTGTTTTGGTTTTTTTCCTCTTACGGCTTATGGGACTTGCCAGCTTAACAAAAATGTTTTCATGAAGATACAGCACATGAGATCACCATTTCACTGAGTTAGATTTTTCTTTGACGGCGAATTTAATACCTGCAAAAGATGGTATAAAATACATGAAGAAATGTCTGCTATATTCTCATATCTATTTACTGGGGTTCGTTTGTTTTTCAGCCCTGGCAATCCATTTTTAAATAAAGACGACACATTCATTGGCTCAAAATACAAAAAGGTAGTATATCGTGAGTACACAGATCAGACATTCAGTACTCCAAAAAGCAGAGCAGAGGAAGAGGAGCACCTTCAAATTCAAGGTAATTCAATTTGAACAATACTGAATATAGTTCTAGCCACACAGCCCCACACCTACGGGGAATTGCTTCTTACAGTGCTTTCTTTACCAGATTTTATTGCTTGCTTTACAAGGGGGGGATGAATGAGCAACCTACAGGTTTGCTGCCTGATTACAGTATTTGCAAAGGTGCTGAAATTTACATCCTTGTTTAGCTGCTTAACTTCAACTGCTCAAGTTGGCTTATCATTGTGAATGCATGTTATCCATGTCTAGTTTTTGGCTGAAATATGATTTATATCCTAATGCTGTTGTGTGTTTCAGCACAGTAAGCTCTCTCTCTGCTCTGATTATTTACAAAATCACCTTAATCTATCTTTTCAATTGAACAGGGCCACTGATTATGTCAAGTGTTGGAGATAAAATTAACATAGTTTTTAAGAACCTGGCATCAAGACCTTATTCTATACATGCCCATGGAGTGAAAACAGACAGTTCTGTTGTTGAGATAACCAACCCAGGTATCAAAGCATCCTTATGTTATTTCTACATCAAGCTTTCTAGTAAGGTTTAGCAAAGCTTTACTTTTAGCAGCAAAGACTTGATGTTTGTTAGTTTGTTACTTTTAACCTCAGGTTCTTACAATTTTGATGCTGATTATGGCCAAGTTATTTCTACAATTAAAATGCCCCTCATAACTATTGCTATGTGTCTAAGTCTTGACATATCAGTAATTTTTTTGACACAACTTGGCCATGTCTTTTATGAAAGTAGACTTAGTGACATAAGGAAAACATAGCTTATACTACCTATTATTTTAAAACTTATTCTGTACAAAGGATACAGTTGTTTCTATGAAATATGGTAAAACATGCCATTGCTAATGGTATCCCGGTCTCCATCAGACGAGCCAAGGGAGTAGTAGGGGAGCTCCATCAGTAGGCCAGCAGGGACAGGGAGGTGACTGTCCCTCTTTACTCTACCTTCATGAGCCCCCATCTGGCCTACTGTATCCAGGTCTGGGGCCCCCAACACAGGAAAGATGTGGAGTTGTTGGAGAGGATCCAGAGAAGAGCCACAAAAATGCTCAGAGAGCTGGAGCAATTCCTCTGTGAAGACAGACTGAGGGAGCTGGGCTTATTCAGCCGGGAGAAAAGGAGGCTGCAGGGTGACCTCACTGCAGTCTTCCAGTATTTAAAAGAGGATTATAAAAAGCAGGGGAATCAACTTATTGCTTGGGTAGACAGCGATCGGACAAGGGGGAATAGTTTTAAGCTCAAGGAGGGAAGGTTTAGATTGGATGTCAGAGGGCAGTTCTTCACAGAGTGGTGAAGTGTTGGAACAGGCTGCCTAGAGATGTGGATGCCCTGTCCCTGGAGGTGTTCAAGACTAGGTTGGAGGGAGCCCTGGGCAACTTGGGTTAGTACCAGATCTGGAGGTTGGTTGCCATGCCTGTAGCACAGGGGTTGGAACGTGATCCTTGGGGTTCCTTCCAACCCAAGCCATTCTGTGATTCTAAATAGGGCAGCTACATAGAACATTGGCAAGAAGTATCGGGATTATGCAGAAGGGAAATAACAAGAAGAAACTAGCCAGTGCACTGTTTGGGAAGAGGAAGATCAAGACCAGTATAAGCTGTAAATGGAGATAACACTTTGTTTCAGGACTTCTTTCCGCGCGCTTATCTGCAGGCTTCTAACTTTCATCAATGTTTATTTAATTTAGGTGAAACTAAAATTTATGTCTGGAAAATATCAGCAAGATCTAGTTCTGAGAGAGGTGATCCACACTGTACTGCATGGGCATACCATTCAACAGTAGACATCATTAAGGTATACTACTAGCATTGGTCTGAAGGGTTTTGTTCATTACTTCAGCACAGATAAACTTAAAGCAGGAGTTTCAAACCTCTCTCCTTTTTGCTGTATCAGTCAGGTCGTTGCTCCACTACCATGCCTTTGAATTTAAAGGTCTCTTGAATAATGCAGTAAAGTCAGAGCAGAATTTGAAAGTCACACTCTCTGCTGTTCTTGTTCCCTGGTTCTCCTGCCATTTGTATACGCTTCTAGCATTAGTCACCACTAATAATTATTTTTTATTTGTGATTTCAGGACACTTACAGTGGATTAATAGGCACACTTGTTGTGTGTCCTAGACATTATTTACCATCGTCTCATACTAGAAAGAAAGTTCATTTTGCTCTTCTTTTTATGGTTTTTGATGAAAATGAGTCATGGTATTTGGATGAAAACATCGAAACCTATTCTGCCAACCCCCACCTTGTTGACAAAGAAAATGAGGAATTCCTTGAAAGTAACAAAATGCATGGTATGTTTCCTAACTTAATTAATGTAACTCTAGAGAGATTATAAAAGCATGTGTTAGAAATTACTACATATAAATTGGACTTTTTCATCCTCCCTGATTTTCCAGTTATAGGGTAAAAAGCCAGAAAAATCTCACTCACTGCTTTACATTGTTGTACTGCTGAATTACATATTTTAATGTATGAAAATAAATAGTTCCATGTTGACATTTTTTGAGGGTGAAAAGATTAAAATGTAAATTGGAAATTTTGATGTTAGCAAGTAACTAATTTGAATAGGTTAGTAATGTAATGTATATCCTGAAAGCGTGTCCTCATAAAGCTTATCCTTTACAATGCACCACAGGAAATGCAGACTTAGAAACTTCAGTAGTGGTGCAACAGTAGTACACTTCCATTTTAACTGCTTCTTGCTTTCCAGTTAAATATGGAAGGCATAATCAGACTCATTTCATAATATGCTGTCCTTTCTTTTTGATAACAATGCATTAATACCTTTTAAAATTATTTTTATATACCACTCAAAGTGGTTCCTTTTTACCTAACTGTAGCTTTTAACTCTCATAAAGCATTGAGAACAACAAGAAACAAAATCTTATTTTCTCTTTCCCTCTTTTTAGCCATTAATGGAAAGGTATTTGGAAATTTACATGGTCTGACTATGCATGTTGGAGATGAAGTAAGCTGGTATTTGATGGCAATGGGCAATGAAATAGATATTCACACAGCACACTTCCATGGCCACAGCTTTGACTATAAGGTAACAGTTCCTTTCCATTCATTTTTGCTAAGAATGTGAGGTAGAGCAAATAAAAAGTCAGATGAAATGGCATACAGTCATTTCAGACAGGGTATGATTAAAAGACTTGGTGGGAACATGACTAAAAGGCAGTTCATGGGGCTGCTGTCTGGTTATGCCACACTGTTCAATGATGGTTTCTTCTCATCTTGAAGCAAACAGGAGTTTACCGGGCAGATGTCTTCGATTTGTTCCCAGGAACATTTCAAACAGTGCAAATGATCCCACAGAACCCTGGAACTTGGTTATTGCACTGTCATGTTACTGACCATATCCATGCAGGCATGGAAGCAACTTATACAGTCCTCCCAAAGGAAGGTAAGAGCTTATCTACCCCAATAACATTTGTTATTCTTAAAGATGCAGTACAGAGCTCAAGGACATGTTCTGATCAGATTCTTTCCTTATTCCGATCAGGAGGAGTGGATGTTAACTATTTCCTCAGCTCCCCATCAATGAAATTAAAATGGCAGCTTTTTATTTAAGAAAGAACTCATCATGAGAGGTAGTACTTCTGTGCCCAAGAAGTGCTAATGAAATCAGACTCCCTCTCACTTTTCATTTAAAACAAAAAGAACCATTTGGTGAAAAAAGCTGAAGTTGCCATTCAAAATACTGAAAAGTTAGTTTCTTTTTAAAAGGCATGTTTTAGCCTTACAAACACTACTTAACTACTGCCATTACTTTAGCAATCTTGCCTGTGAAAGGAACCTGAATCTTGAAGGATTTTGAAACTTCTTTCTTCTACAAAGCTAATACAACTTTAAAAGCAACTTTCATATACTAGAAAGACAAAGCATCATAGGTATGTATTACCTTAACTGACAGAGCAGTAGTCCAAAATGTGTATGTCCATGTGTGTATATATACACAACTGTATGATTTACGTAAGTACACTAACAAATGCAGATTAGATTGTTAAACACTATCTTGTTATAGAGCTGATTCACAGAATACACTGTGACAAATTTCTGCATATAATAAACTAATGGCGTACATGCAGAAAAAAAGATAGGTACCTGAAAATGCAGCATGTAGCATTTTTCATAATCAGCTCTTATAGTCCAGTCCATTTTATACCCTTCAGTGTATTTTGTTTTTAAATCAAATTCATAATGTGTAAAAGGTACTGAGATCCATTGCCCTCATCTTAGACTATGCCTATACTCTTCTTTTGCCAAGACTGGAAAAAAAAAAGTGTTTTTTTCTTCACAGACAAATGGTCTTTGTTCCCAAGATTATTCAATCAATCCAAGTGCAAAGACACACCAGATATGCGAGAATGAAGAAAACCATTTACTACAGTGATTCTCTAAGATCTACTTTCAGTGAAGAACTGCTTGAGAAATACTATCTCCTTTCCATGTGTTTAAGAAGATTTCAGGCGATAGGCCACAGCTACAGAGACCACAGACTGAGGCAGCTGGATGAGTATAATAGCTTGTAGTTTTTCTTAAATAAATAACACTGCAAGTTGTGATTTTTAACTGCTGGAAAAGCCAAATGAAATGTACTTTGTGAGGATTTTTGTTCTCAGTTTGTAACTAATTCTGTGTTTTAAAAAATAAGTAAATTGTTTTAGACTACCATCTTAGTAACCACTGCATGGACAACTGGAATTTTGGAATTTGGTTATCATGTTAATTATCGGTTATTGAATTATAGTTTTATCCAGTAGTGTTGTTCAAGAAAGTGAATTTAAAAGATTAATGAGTTACCTATTACAATAAAACATTTGTGTTTTTATGTTGTGAAAATAATTACGAGAGAAAAGTTAGGTGAACACAAGCCTGACCCCGTGAAGGTAAAATACAGTGAATGTACCTAAGAGCTTTGCCCTTATGTATTCTAAATAGCTACTGCAAGGGGACTCATTTTGCTGCAACAGCAGCCAGCTCTTGCATTGGCTCATTTCATCCCTCATCTCACCTCAGACAACTGCAATAATGGATCAGACAGGCAGGTAAGGCAAAACATCCAGGCTTTACAGCTACTAGAATAAAGGAAGTTTGTTCTCTGTATCATTTAGCTTTTTTTTTCTTTTGAAAAGTAGAAAGCATCTACTACAACCAGAGGGCTTCCTACTAGTAAATGACCTCTAGTAAGGCCTTCAGCTGTTTATGGGATAGTAAAGTTCCAAAGCACACTAACTATGCGTAAGGTCAAAGTTTATTATGACTAAATTCCAGCTGGAAAAACACAGGGATGTATTCTGTCCAAAAGACAAATATCAATACATACACACAGACACAAGGCACTCACCAGCAGACCTGGAAGAAACAGTTTTCATCTAGGTTTGTGACCTAGTGATACTTGAAATACTTCCCAGTACCAGCTGACCACAGCAGAAAAAAGAGAACATAAAGAGTAAGAAAGTAGTACTCTGTATCACCTACCCCACTTAAGAACATTTCCATCTCTTTAATTTATGGCCTTTTCCCACTAACTGCTAAATGAAAGTGCTTTACAATAGAATGCTTACTCAAACAAGCGTCAAAGATGGTAGAACTGCTGTCCAGTTTTTCCAGCTGGAATTCAAAGGAATTCAAACTTAAGTAGCCCAGTTCTACTTTGAAGTGTTAGGCACTTACTTATACAATTAAAGATGCAGCTAAGCTTCAGTTCCTCCCTAGGCCAGTGACATAACTAGTTAGCATGCAATTAAGACCTAGTTGACTTTCAGCAAAGAGTTGGTCCAGTTGCCTTTTAGAGTATGAGTTGCCTCTGCCTACTAACTGAATAGATTATTTTTAAACTGGCCAACATTTATTCAGTACTACCTGGCAGGAACTTTTCTAGTTTGCTAACCTTTGTCAAAGTATAATACTACTAGCTTCAAAAGCAATGCTCTTCCTCAAATAACAGCTGTCATTCAATAATTGCCATAAGGTTTTAACTCAAAAATAAGGTGATTTATGCGTAGGTGGATGCGCAGAGCTGCTTCTTACATACTCCTCCTCCATGTTCTTTCTTATTCCAGCATATTCTTGGTATCTGAATGCATAGGTTTGCTTTCACTGCGTCTACATCAGTTGTTTCCTTTGGCTACAGTGAAGAAGATGTGGCAGGAAAAATGCTGCAGTTCCATCTTCTGGTAGAAGACTAAGGAAATCCCATAGTTCCAGTTCCATTGCAACCACTGATAAAGTTTCTGCCAAAAGCAGAAGAGAAAATCTTTTTTAGTGTACTGTGGATAGTATACAGGAACAAAAAGAACATGAATAATGTCACCATTAACTGAAGTCATGAAGTGATCTGAATATTTTAACTGAAATAAAATCTGAGACGTCCATTTGGGAACTTACACTGTTATGGGAAATCTCAGAGGTAAACTGAAATTATGTCTTAGATTAAAACCACACCTTAACTCATCAAGTTTACATGTGACACTAATGCTTATAGAATAGTAGTCTAATACTTCACATGCATCAGAGCAAATGGAGAAGCAGCCCTGGCAATCTTCTCCACTAGTATCCTAACTCAGAATTATTTGTGAAATCAGATGTTTTGCAAGCAGCTTCTGAGATGAAGCTGTTAAATAAGATCTTAAATGCTTGTAGCCCAGTTGTCACCTGAAAACAAAACAATATGTCAGTATGGCAACTTGTGCTGCACAGTCCAGCCAGGGAATCTGTTCTCCTCTCAGGAAGCACGCACTCCTGTTTTATTTTAACACACATATTTTTCTTAATCTATCTCCTTATTCTGTCAAAATTCAATGCACTTGCCCCTCAATGGTGCAGTGTTATTGACTTCTTACAAATATGCAACAGGACTACATCAGTCACTAGAGTTGGTTTCATCACTTCTTTATTTCTGCTAACCAAAGAGCAGTAATCCTACCACCACCCTCCCAAATGAACTCAGATGTTTCATTCTGCTTAATATGACCAACCATCAGTAACACTCTGCATCTTTTACAGTCTGTAACCTAATCATGAATATACGCTAAACTGCCCACTGCTAGCCTGTTAGCTGTCATTGCTTACAACCATAAAGTCACTTATCCTAGAAAGAAAGTACAACAATCCATACCCATTACTTTAATGATAAAGTTCCTTAAATTGTGTCTATTCTTGATCAGTATTGAAGTAATGATTCCCAAAATGCAATTGTTTTCAGTATAAACTGAATGACATCATTTTCATGAGGATGTTGCAGAACGCTGTTCTGATTATGAGACGGCCTGCTGAGCTTTATAAGCTTTAACGATAGAAAACTAGTCCCTTTTTTCCAAACCACCACATCAGTATTCCTTAGAACAATATTTAGGATGCTGGATGCTATAGAAAGGCTTCTGGAGTTGAGCTCTGATCAACTGATTTACCTTTTAATGATGAAATAAGAACAGGACAGTCACTTCCAGTAAGTCTGGCTCTCTCACAAAGTTCTGGTAGGAGCTTGTTCCACCATACAGCCTAGTTCATAAAAACCCACAGCAAAACCGTAAATTAACAACAACTGCAGTTAAGAGTGTGAAAGACCTGCTAAAAATACACCAAGAATCAGGCGCATGCAGATACAAATAGGCTGACTTATACGTGCTTTGAAATGCAGTAGTTTTGCACACATACATCCAGTTTTCAGTACTGTCTTTTCATATTCAACAAATATCTTACAGTGCCCCCCAGAGGTATTTTTTTTTTTGTTTATTCCAACCAACTCCATGCAAAGCAATGAGTGATATTACTAGAACATTGCTGCGTCCTGAGCTAATCCTCTTCCAACAGCTTAAGTACCACAGTATTTTCCATTCATCATTTTGTCAATAAGATTGAAGAAGGAAAAATAGATTTCTTTTATAAACACAGTAGCTTTTTTATTCCAGCTATATTCTGATTTAGTTGTGCCTCCAACTCTGTTTTCATACTTGTTACAACCAAAGAAAATATCTTCAGATTTAAAAATAAAGCACAAATTTGGTCTTGAGCACTGCAGTAGTAGGGCTGGGCTATCTGATCCATCTGCAATAACATTTTAACTAGGGAAAATAAACAACCCCAAATCCAAAAAACTTTAACCCGAATAGCTCACCCGACTGTCACCTTTCAGCTCATGCTGAGCGTATAACACAGCTGCAGCAGGACACTGTCTGAGGAGCTGGTCAATGGACTCCTCGTACTTGCCCAGATGGGTACTACAGAGAACACGAACGGTGAGGCCAACATTGCCAGCCGCTGCCAGAGGCTCCAGGATAGGCAGAGCTGCAGTTATATCTATTGATTGACCACATAAAATAGACTAAAGAACAACAACAAAAAAGATTGTTTGGATTTAACACAAGTTTTGCAAAACACTGCTAACCATAAACTTAGAACAACCTTACTTACAATATTTATTTTAATAGACATTTTTAAAAACTGAGAAAGCTGAGTACACAGTTAATAGCAAAGGTAAGTATTACTGTTATTGATGTGTGACATCAACATTTTTTTCTTACATGATTTTAAGGGGTCTTTCATTTCAACTTGGATAAATTGAGGGGGGCAGGCCGCTAGAAAAAATTGTTAACATGCATGAACATCTGCAGAACAGATTCAAGCTGTAAATACCAAGGTTTAGGGATTTCATACCTGTAGCTTTGAAATATCTTCAGGGAAATCTTTGTCAAGTGGAGATTCCATTGACATTATGAAAGTAACCCATGGGAAAATGGACCCAAAATGATCACAGGAGTTTATCTACAAAAGCAATACAGAAGTTGTAATAAAAAAGTATTGCTGTTAGTGACAGTCCCACATCAAACATCCTGCTCCCCGCAAGCAAAGAAAATTTTGTTGTCAAATAGCAGCTATTATTTCCTCTAATTCATAGAATTAGAAATAAATCAGCTTGAAACTTCTATTTATTTCTGTAATTCAGATTTTTCATTCAAAATATCTTACAATTCATCACCCCTGTATTTCTTCATCTTGTCAGTTTTGTAAAATTTTTGTTATAGAAAAAAAAACAAAACACTTGGAAAATTCTCAGTTTCATCCTAGCCTTGATTTGAAATATCCAGAATGTGACACTCCTGTTGAGTGTATTTTAAAACACCCCTAAAGAACTCCCCAAAACCAGCAAAACCTGTCTGGTAGGCAGACACTACATTATTTACTCTCAGGCATATTTCTTTTAAGAGGCTGTGACGCTACAACACCTCGGAAAGTACAGTCATATTAGTAGGATGGCAAAACCTTCAGCTGCAGCAAATGAAGACAAGCCCCAGTGCAGCAGCTGTGGGCACAGAAACAAAGGAAAAAAGCTTCTTACCTTTGGAAGATCTCTGCAAGATACCCTCACCTCCACTACCAACCCTTAAATGAGGTCTGGGAAGGGATGGATCCTGGCTCCACCCCTTCCATCAATCAATACCAACCCCTTCCACACTACATTCACTTGAGCTCCCCTGGGCTGGCCCTGCCTCCCACCAGGTGCCCCATCACTGGTTCAGGCCATGACTCAGCATTTTCACTATAAATTGTCCAGCATCAAAATTCTAAGTAATTGGATAGCTTTAGATGGACAGTACAGTCATAAAACTTCTGAGTTACCAGATCCTCTGTTGTTTTCAACGGCTTCGTCTCAGGGAGTTGCTTCTTGGATATCCTCCAAACATACTGATAAGTAACCCTCAATAAGAGCTCCTGAAGTACTTCTTCCTGAGAACATGCTACAAGAAGAGCTTCCCAGAAATCTACCAAAAGTTGAGGAACCATGTCTTCACCATTATTACATAACACCTAGGAACAAAAACATTAGAAAATGACAAGTTAGTGCAAAACATGGCAATTGTTAGTAGCAGAAATCAAAAGAAACAAAAAGAACAGATTTTCACTGTTACCAGAAGCAGGATTTTAGCACCTTTTTGACTCGGTATTTCTCAAGGATGCAATGCTACATAATACAATGCTAGAAAAAATTAAAAGTTCATGGAATTAATTTAACACAGATTTCATTTCTTCCACTGCCAGAATGGTCAGCTGACTGTCAGCAAATATTTACTGACTGCTAATTTGGAGGCTTTTTTATATGCCAATAGCCTAACAGGTGTCTTCTGAAGAGGAATCTTAACGCAAGCAAAGGCCATGATAAGGAAATGCTGTGCATCTCAGCTGAGGATCCACAAGGGAGATGATCCTGGGCTTAAGGTCTGGTTTCTTGGTGAAAAGGACATTTACTTGGTTTACAGCTGGCTTTGAAAAAGAGTATTTGTTCTAATTTGAGCTTCACGACTCAGTCTTTTTGTCATATGTCTTTCACAGTAACAGACATTAGTCCACAGTATACTTATATTTAAGCCTACATGATTTTAATCCAAACAACGTTACACTGTAGAATAAAGGAAAAAATATTTTGTCTACTTCGAAACACAGAGAACTTCAGTGACCAGAAAAGGTCAGAAAAGCTCTGAGATGAAATTATGCATTCAAGTGACAGGATCACAACAAAGAACTTAATAACTTAATTGTTGGGGTTTTTTTTGCTCCATTCTTCTTTTCAAAAAGTCCAATTTCTGATTTCATAGGCATCTCTCTGCACTGGAATATAGCAATCCTCATCTGCCTCTTTCAAAAGAAATGCTAAAATGTGAGTGAAGGAGCAACCAAGCCCACTTTGCTGACCCATAAAATCAGTTATGTGAAGAAAAGAAGGAAAAAAATGATCATAGGCCAACCTTGAAAAACATATCTGCTTCTTCCAGTTCGATTTTACTGTTCTCATGTAAAGCCACAGTGGCAGCCACCAGTAATCCAGGTTGCAACGCCTTCAGGTGAACAGCAAATTCAGTTGGAATTACAATTCCTTCTTTACACTCTCTCAGGAGTTTTGGTTGCCCAATGAAGCCACAGGCCAGCATTGTCTATAAACAATCAGATATAAGTTAGATAAATAACTCAATCCATGCATAGTTCAACTCAGTGAAGTCAGTATTTTTCAGGCAGTCAAGTTTATACAGGCAAATGAAATGAAGTCAAGAGAAATAAATGTTTTCTACAAAAATATTCTAAAATATTTTCTTTAAAAAATAATTCTCCAAAGATCCAGGTCCAAACTGTGTGTTGAGTCAGTGACTTCAGAACACTATGCCATTTATCTGAACAGTGAAAGAAACATTCTGATGAAACCTGGAGTTACTGTACACGTAACATAGATTTTACTATGCAATCAGCCAGTAAACAGTAAGTTTTGTGAAAACTCACTGACTGGAATTTCAGTGAAATACTCTGCTGAACACCCTTGAAACAATGATCATCAAAACATGCTGCACAATATCCAACTCAAAGCACTTTTGAAGGTAAATGACAACATACTATTTCCATTTTAACAACGTGGAGAAATGATGTCTGTACAGACTAAACAATTTACGTAAGAATTATAAAGAAGACCTAGGAAGAAAATTCAGACTTCGAGACCTCTACTTGTAGAAATTATCCTTCCTTCATCTTTCTGGAAGCACTGTTTTTAATACTGCACAATAAAATGATTTTTAAAGTTGAGTTGTTTTTTTAATAGGTCAAATTAAAACCAAGCAAAACTCCACAACTAAAACACCAAACACTTGATTCTCATTTAAATAACATCCATGCAATGGAAGAGAGGGTGAGCTGGACTGTTTGAACCAGATGATATCCAGAGGTCCTTTCCAACCTCAACCATTCTGTGAATGTGTATTTTTCCAGCTTGTCTGTAACATGGCAATTTCATCTTGCCTTGCTGCAAATGGTTCAAAAGCAGGTGAAAGATCCTACACAACACTGTTGAAACAGCATTCCACAGTTCCCACCTGGCATTTCAAAAGCTGCTAACTCAAAGCTACCCAAAGCTTTTGATTCTGAAGCTTGACACCTAATTCTGGGATATCAGCTCTCTCTCAGAAAAAGCCCACACTACGAGCTCTGTAACCTTTGACTATTCAAAGGCTCCTGATCAGCCTTAAGAAGAAGCAATTTACAGACTGGTCTCAGTCTAAATCCACATACGAAAATCTACGACTGATTTACTAACATTTTTTCCCCCGTTAACATGGAATTCTTATTTTGATAGCAATGAAGTAGGTTCTGATCCTAGACTTAGCAACAATTAAGCGCTTTAATTTAAGAGAAGATGAGAAATTGTATAGGGAGACTGTATACAGAAACTTTGGCTTGTATGCACTGTGCAAGGCAATTTTATAAGGGTTGTTTGCATAGAGAAGGTACATTTTCATGGGCACACTGCATGTATTGATTATAGATGGAGAGGCGGAAAAATGCTACCATACAACCCTGCCATAATGGTGAAGAGCATTGACTCTGCAGAGCCTGTTACACTCCAGTATACTGTATTTCATTTATAAGAATTAATATCTTCAAATACTTTGTTTACTGATAAGGCTTTGCAAAGACAGCACCATCCCACTGTATATCAGCCCTGGATCCTACTGTTAATGCAGATGTTCAAATGGAGCCTACACAGCAAATGAGGAGAAAGAGAAGTAACTGAAAGGTTGTTTTATTGTAAAATACAACCACAAGACAACCCATTGACCTGGGATTTACAAAAAGTGGATAATTCATGCTTTTGGTATACCTTACCTCCTTGTGGGAGTTCATCTCACATTCATACATCGTAAGGTCTCCCATTTTCAGTGCCATGAAAGCCTTAGTAAGCGTAAGGACCACTGATGGCATAATGTCTTCTACTTTACGAAGATACTTCACAGCTGTCAGAGGACATACATTCTTCATGCAGGGACTGCAGATGATATGAGGCAGCTGCATAGGGTCAGCAAGATAGAATATTTGGAGAACTTTATCTGCCAATTCCTATTGAAATAAAAACCATTTTATAGTTTCAATATTTCACAGAATCGCACAGAATCACAGAATGGCCAGGGTTGGAAGGGACCTCAAGGATCATGAATCTCCAACCTCCCTGCCACATGCACGGCTACCAACCTCCCCATTCAATACCAGACCAGACTGCCCAGGACCCCATCCAACCTGGCCATTTCCAAACACACAGACTCTTATGGCCTAAGATAGAAGCTTTTAAAAAAACAAGAACAGCAAGAAACAGACAAATACAGCTTAGCCATGAAATTACAGTGCTTTTCCGCCTTTCCTCCCTGTCAGTGAAATTAAACGAACCAAGAGTGAAACTCTGGAGAGCTAGAACCATCCACCACACTGAGTCAGCTTTACCAGTCTGTCCATGATCAAAAAACAGTTTGCACTGTTGCAGAAATGAGGAATGAAAGAAATCTGAGACAGAACTTTCCTAGAATGAAAGTATTCCTGTGTGTGTACTTTACTAACATGCATCATGACAGCCAGATCATTACATTGCATGACAGCAGTTCAAAGCATTGCAGCTGTTGCTTGCTATTTTGTTAAAATGAGAAAATAAAAACCATGTGAAAAAGAATAATTGTAAAACTCAGAAAGCAGTGCAGTAGATCAATAGAAATTGTAATTAAAATTTGTTATATCGTTCTTAAAATCAGAACCAGATCGATAGATTAAAAAAAAAAAACAACACCACTTGTTTTTACCTTGCTTAATTCTTCATTTAACTCTTCATTAAGAGAGTGAGTTAAATAAAATATTAATCCTTTTTCATACATCTGTATTTCACCACTTTCTGAAGCTAGTCGCTCCAAAACTTCAGCCACAGATAAACCTGACATTCGGTAGTATGGCAAAGCAAGGTGGTAATCCTTTGTGTCAAACCTGAAAGCAACAGACGGGAAGTAAAAAAGAGGAACTAAAGGCACACTTTTGATGCTGTTGGTAAGAACTAAAATAACACATAACAGTTGTAGACACACCAGTATCTGCAAGCACATGCTATTACTCAAGGTGACATTGTATTCTGTGTCAGATTGACAATAAAAACAATCAGATACAGCACAGAGGACCAGTTTAAACTGTAAAGAAACATGAAATATACACACAATACCAATGTTCAGTAGCAAAGAACGATTGGATTTTTATTTTTAGGTTAGATTACTGGAAACAAGAGCTCATCTGTATCTTTCTGACATCTAAAACATACCTGCTGTAGCAATCTCCTAAGAAGGCACAACTTTCTTTGAATGCTCTCAGAAGTTCTTCTTTGTCATCTGATTTAAAGAAGCTAGGGTCCGTTACTGCTGCTCTGACTAGTAAGTGAGCCTCACTTAGGAGATGGATGCAACTCTCAGTTCTTACATTTTCATAAGTTCTACTATAATCTACCTAGAACAGACACAGGATATACTTAGGGTGCTGGTAAAAATTATATACAGGAAGAATTCTAGAGAGGGCAGTAGCCATTTGAAATACGATTATGGGCTATTCACAAAAAATACATAACTGTATATTCAGCACAGAAATTAATAGTACTTATTTTCAGTCAATCAAAAACAAAAGCAGGAGGTAGCAATACCATTTCTCTGTAAAGCTGGATGGTTGAAACAGTGTTTATAATATACAAATTCCAGCCAGGTTCTGACTCAGAATTGGTTCTGGATTTGTTGCTATCAGCCTTTCTGGAGCTAGAGAAAAGGAAAAGATTTGAGTTGTCAATGTTTAAATAAACACTATGCAGCCAAAAGAAAGTAATCATCTGATAAATCCATAAACAGATATTTTTGCAGGCTAGTAAACACTTGGCAGTTAAATTATAAATTCAAATCATAATTAATGGCTAAGGATAAATAGGCACATTCATACAGAATGGTTAGAAACCAACTCTAGGGTTTAAAAACAAACATAAGAAGCTTACAAGCTGAGTAACTGAAATTAATTAAGTGCTCACTCTTTTTGTAAAGATTTACCACACTTCTGCCCCTGCACCTAAATACAATATCTGCTAAGGTACAATGTAAGAAAGTACCTGAACACTTTTACTCCAGCACACTGGCTGGGTCTTCAACTGCCTAACATTAAAATACCACAGAGAAATAGTGAAGAAACAGAACAGTAAGCATTTGATCTAGGATATCTCTCTCTTTTTTGGTGATGAAGTACACTAGCACTTGTCCAACAAATACTCTTTGCGGAAAGCAAAACGTGTTTCCTTTGTTTCCTTCTCAAATGTCAACTATGAACTTTTAAAAATTGTTTCAGAGAGAGAAAACTACAGTATTTTGATTTACTACTTCTCTTTTATCAGCTTAGCACCGTCTTCTCTTGAATAAGGTTAGTTCTATGCTTTAAGAAAGACTAGTTCTAATAATTACAACCAACTACAGCTGTTCAACTCCTGTTAATGGGCTTTAGCAAATGCGATTCCTCAACTGAACTCTTCTAAACAATGAACAACTCTCAAAGAATGGGAAAGGTAGATCTCACAGAATTAGTCATAAATGCACCAGGCTACATCCATACAACAAGAGTATATCTGACTGAAGTCTGGTCCTTCTTTTGTCATTACTATGATGACGTTCACAACTTTCTAAGATCCTTTAGCTGAATGTAAGTTATTTTCATTTTACGCTACACCACAGTTTGTTAGACCATAGGTTCACTATTCCTATATATTTTTGTTTCTCAAGATAAGTATTTATTTCTTCTCAGTAGCAGATATTCTTCGTAATATTGGTTCAACATTACTTATGAAAGTTGTTTCTGACAATTTTGATTTCAACCATTTAATACCATCTTCTTTTCTTCTATGTCAGTTAATACTGAAGTCAAAAATTGGTGCTTGATTTATGCTTTTGTTTACTAGCTTGGGAATTATGCTCAGAAAGCACCTTTTGCAAAGGACTCTCTCTTCAATTCCAACACTTGAAAATTCAGCACTGTACATAAAGTTATAAATCCCATCTCCCCAGAAGACACAAATTCTTACAGCATCCTTCTTGAAGGCTTTCGTCTTTCAGTAATATCTTCAGTATCAGCCTTAGTCAGAAGAATTATATGGTTTTTGTAATGACAGATAGCTCTTGGCCCTATAAAAAGCTGCATTCGTAACGTGCAGACATCCAGTGTGACAGGTGGACAAGCCTACAAAATAAAGTGAGCACTTTGTAATTTTGGTCTTTAATTGAAAAAAATATGTGAAAAGATATAATCTTTGTCTAAAATACGACACTAAAAATATTCACTGGCTTTCCTAGCTTTGAGTGCTTCATCAAAGCAAGAATAAAAATATTCAAACATCAAATCCTTGTAACAATAGGTACAAGAAATCGCTTTACTCTTTGACGCAGTTGCACATTTTTAGCTGTGTCTCAAAATAACTGAACCTTGGCTAGGTTACCCAACATGGAAAAGTCAATACCAAGTAGTTTGATTTTGGCCAAGATGTAAGACTGTCTGATAGAGTTATGAAAGTCCTGATTGTAGTTGCTTATGTTATAAAAATGTATTACACATAGAAATACTATATTTGCTTGCCTACTGTTACATTTCATGCCCAGTATTACATCCTGACTCATTCAGTGTGCACCTTTCAGCCAGAAATTACCATATCCTCTACACTGGACTAAAAACTGAGAAGAAGCAACTTCATTTGCCCAGAAATATTTTGAATTTATAGCATTAAGATAAATCCTCTATTTACAAATTAACATGCACAGTGCAGCAAGGCGAGACAACATCATGTTTTACACGTACCCTGCTTTTTGAAGAAATTCACACCAGGACAGGGATGCCCCTAAGGGACTGCAGCCCCTGGAAGACCATTGCCAGGGTGGGTCTGTGACCCACGGAGGGCAAGCTGTGGTGTGGACAACCACAAGGACTGTAGGTTTCCATTACGTGCACGTTTTCTCAGCCTCCTGAGCCACCTGTTGCCAGGCTGAAGGAATTGTGAGGGACTGAACATAATCTTTGGAAACACACGCAAACCTGAGTCTGAGAAAGGGATAGGTTCTTTCATGTGTTTGAAAATGGAGGTCAGAAAATGTTTGGCTCTTGAAATTTTTGCAGTTTTTGTAATACAACTGCTCTGTGGTTTCCTTATGCCTGCTGTCTACATGCTCAAATAAAATCCATAAAGGTCAGCTTAAAATACTCTTTATTCTCAACTGTTCTGGTATTATTTTTATTAACATTTGTTCCAATTTTTGTAACTGAGCAGATTTTTACAGCAAAGCAAACTGAGAAAGGGGCAAAATCTGGAACTTCAGCGATTAAAAGCCCTCTTCTCCAAAAAAAAAAAAAAAAAGAACCAACACAAAAACCAACACAGATTATCAGGTAGGCAGACACGTTCAAATGTCTACACTCCTCTTAGGAAAACTGCCAGTTCAAAGACACCTGAGAAAGGGAAGAAAAATAAAAAAGAAGAAAGAGAGAAAAGACCAAAATTTAAGTTTCAAGACAGGCAGGTTCTGCAAGCATCATCAGCCACAACATCAGTCTGCTCCCTCCATTCAGATTTATATGGGAAAGTATGATTTTTGTTCTAAGTGTACATGGTTTTACAGTTTTTTTAAATATTTAAAAAAAATATTCTATTAATCATCTAGAATCTTAAACAGAAATAATAAATTGCAGTGATACACCTGCAGACCATTAAATTACAATATGCCACAGGCTGATGTAAAATATTAATTTTGGATGTTGTTTGTTATAGTGAATAGAAACAAACAGGGTTTCAGTATGAAACACAACTGCCATATTGCTGCTCCTATTCTTTTAGAAAAAAATTTGAGATATGCACCTTTACAGTTGTATCAATGTATGGATCTTCATCGCGAGCTGCTGCTGCACTGCACCGCACTGTGTAACACTGAAGGCTCTCACTAGAAGGAAAGAAGAAACACTGATGAAGAAAAAAAAAAAAAGAAAACTTGAATTAATCCAGGACGAAAACTAGACAAAATCAGGTCTGTGATGTAGACAGAAAGGCATTCTGCACTAAAACATGAATCTACCCAGAATGACCCACGAGGCTGCAAAGGACTCATAAATGAGCCAAAGAGGAAAGAAAAAAAAAAAAAGAGAAAGTTACCTTGTAATGACATGCAGGAACTGTGGAGTAAGAACTGCCTGCTCTGACCTCTCTGAGTA